CAGTTAATGAGTTTATACCCAATTTTTGGGTAAATACTCAAAATAGGGGTACCTTTGTATTGGGGCTACCAGTAAACGTGGACCTACATACATAAAATTTTGCATGGACATTTTGTACCCAAAAAGAGCACTCTGTGCCAAATTACAGCCAATTTGGTTGTAAAATGTGCAAAAAATACCTTAAATCGGGAGATACGGTTATATGGGGGCTATATCAAAACTTGGACCCAGGGTCCCCATGTTGGATTTCTATATTTGCTTTGACATTAGAAACATGTGTGCAAAGTTTTGGCCGCCTATGTAAAGTGGTTCGGCAGTTAATGAGTTTATACCCAATTTTTGGGTAAATACTCAAAATAGGGGTACCTTTGTATGGGGGCTACCAGTAAACGTGGACCTACATACATAAAATTTTGCATGGACATTTTGTACCCAAAAAGAGCACTCTGTGCCAAATTACAGCCAATTTGGTTGTAAAATGTGTCTAATAAACAAAAAATACCTTAAATCGGGAGATATGGTTATATGGGGGCTATATCAAAACTTGGACCCAGGGACCCCATGTTGGATTTCTATATTTGCTTTGTCATTAGAAACATGTGTGCAAAATTTTGGCCGCCTATGTCAAGTGGTTCGGCAGTTAATGAGTTTATACCCAATTTTTGGGTAAAAACTCGGGTATTTACCCAAGTATTTACCCACGTCTTTAAAGTATCGTAAAACTATCCATTCTAAATCGATTTGATAACAGAAATCCGGAAATAGGGTGTAAGATGTTGTATTACCGAGTCAATATAGTAAATACCCAAATAAATACCCGCAAATGGGTATTTACCCGGTATTTACCCACCCCTTGGGTATTTACCCGGTAAATACCCGGTAAATACCATCTCTATCCATTGTTATCATTTTTGAATGGAGAGATCTGTGGGGGAAAAGGGGGGATAGAAAAGATAAGAAGCTAACAAGGAAGTACGAAGAGGTAGGTAGGAAATAGTTCCAATGGTGGTTTTATTGCGCCATCGATTGCTAGATCTGTAGATTGATATCCTCGTCTAGCTAATTCGTCCGCTTTTTCATTACCCATGATGTCACAGTGCCCTGGTACCCAACACAGCCGATAGCTGTACGTATATGTTTTCAAAACTGCTCTACACTCGAGGACGACTTCACATTTTATGCTACAGGATTTGATGGCTTCAAAAGCCGCCTGAATGTCCACAAAGATAGTAACCGGTTCAACGATCTCTGCATCCAGATTTTTTATCAATTCCATTGCCTTCCAGATCGCAAAGATTTCAGCTTGAAAAACACCACAGTTGATATCCACATCTAGGTAAGCTCAAGGCTTAGCCTTTCACAGTAGACAGCAGCCTCTGCACCTTCTTCCATCGTGGATCCGTCTGTATAGAAAACCAGACCGCCCAGAGGAGGGTTACTACGGATTACTACGGTTCCGGTTGTCTCTACTCTACGACATCTACATCGCCAAATCTCAGGACTGGTGATATATAGCCGACTTTAGGCAATTGGTGCACCAAACTCCTGTTTCCTGGCCCATAGTATAGCGTAACTAATTGAGTTTTGGCATATCCTCCTTAGCAAGGTCATTCCATATTATCGGTATGTTGTAGAATGTAGTCGAATTTACCCACAGAAGTGCCTGTAATTTAATAGTCCGGTTTCTTGGAGGGCTAAAAACATCCATGTCCATATTTTGGCATAGACCTTATGTAAAGGTCTCGCTCATTTTTTGTAATTTGTACAACTAAGCGGCATTTTTCCGCCAAAGTGGCTGTGATTCGGTATTCTATGTTCTTGAGAGGTGAAAATCGTCTATATAAATACTTTGCCCTATTGAATGACTACTTTTGAAGTTGGCACACCGGATTTGTGGTGAATAAAAAATCTACTTTTCAAAAAGTTTTCAATATAGATCAATAGTTTTTACATATCGAAAGTTCCGGTTCATTTGCAGTATTCCACGATTCCATGCTTAGTTCTTCATCCTGAGCGTATGTTTGATATAGAATTTGTTTAAGATATCAACAGCTTGTACTTAGACAATTTGTTGTTTTATAATCCCCATATAAGGATCCCAATCGGTTTAAAAATCTTGTAAGCGGGGCAGCTCACAACATTTACGATAGAACTTTGAAATTTTGCACATTTGCTACTAGCACCAATAATAACGATATCCATCAGTTGTAATTTGGACGAAAATCACCCTACTAAAAATGATCAACATTGATTTATGATTCGGCGTAGCTTTCAAACAAAAAAAGTTGCCCCCAAAACTTCAGTATTTTAGGGTGCTTTGGCACTTTTTTCAAACCTATTAGCAGTAATTTTGTACATTGAATGCATATAGGTTAGCAAGCAAACACCCATAGAACGGGTTAAGCCGAATTTTGGTATCTAGGTGACTTTTTATACAGTACACACCTATGTTGTCAGGGTATTAAAGCTTTGTTCGCTGGTTCGATCTAGACATGTGTATCCGTCCAATATAATTTTTAAACACGATACTGGCCACAGTTATGGACCAATCTTCAAGAAAATTTTGCATTTAGGATGGGTTCTGGCCAATGAAGACCCCTATTGCAAAGGGTAAAGGTCGGTTAATATTTAAGGAATGAAATGGACCAAATACTTAATTTTTGTCGGTTTTCCTGGTCGCTCCAGAGGTCACAATTATGGTCCGAACATGGCGATATTTTACATGGAAATGAGGATCGGACCAAAGAATAAGCATGCTTGTACTCGTATGTGGGAGTTACACTTACATATTTACAGGTGCTTACGTTCTCAAATTGTATTTAGTAACCCATTACCACACTGGGGGGCGAAAATATAGCACTGATCGCTTTTAATATTCATTGAGGTTCCCCTATAACTTTCGGTGATGATCAGACTATAATTATGTGATGAAGTGGACCGAATACTTAATTTGTTGTGTTTTTTGGAAACGTTCACAACACAAACACGGTGTAGGGAATCTGAACGAGTAATTAGAAGAGCTGAACTGAATATTTGTAATATTCGGAAAATATGCCAGTGTAATATATAGAATGCCAGAATATATATAATTGACTTCTAATCGAGCAAGAGGGTGCAAACATCACGAATTATTGCCCAGGCTCGGAATAAACATCCGCCGAAAGTTAGAGTTCCGTAGTAGTTGTGTAGGGTATCGTATGATCGGTCCCGTCCGACTATACTGCTCCGCTCACTGGTTTAGATTTTAGATTATCAGGGGGTAGAGAGTCTCCCTACGAAAAATATTAATATTGGTTCCTATTAAGGAGTAGCCCTTATAATTACTTGTCCAGATTACCTACACCGTAGGTTGTATTATGATGTTCGGCTTGTGGCCTATAGATCGACGAATTAAATTTTCGGTCCACTTCAACCCAATTTTTTTATGTGATCATCACCGAAAATTATACGTATTGTTCTTGACCATATCTGGAACCTCTTGGATAATTTTAAAGCGATCAGCATAATATTTCTGCCCTCTAATGTTAATGGGTTACTAAATAATATCTGAATACGTAAGCACCTAAAATTTGAATATAATGTCAACTTCTCGGGTCTATGTCTTTCAGGAGTAAATATATATGCCATAGAATACAATTTTTGTCATTTTTCACACAAAAGTAAGAGTCCATTTGACCCGCTAAATATCGACCGATCATTATTAATGGTCCATTTCATTCCCTAAATATTAACGGGTCAGTACCAAAATCAGTAGGGGTGTCTTTGGCCAGAACCCATCCCATATACAAACTTTCGTTACGATCGGTCCTTAACTGTGCCCTGTATCGTGTTTACAAATTATAATGGACAAACGGACATACATATATAGACTCAGCTAGTCGAGATATGACGATAGGTATACCAACAGTTGGTCTAGGACAAATATTTCGTGGCGTTACAAACTCTTGGGACCATACAAAGCTACAATACCCTGACAATATAGTTGTATATTATATTTATGCAAATAGGTCCATGTTTTGACATAGCCCCCATTTAATGAAAGTGCTCAATACTGGTGGGGACAATTTTCTATATAGGTCTATGTTTTGAAATAGCCCCAATAAATAGGCCCCGCCCCATTTTCGATATTAACACATTTTTAACCAAATTTTCCCCATCGATAGTGGCAAACCAGGCATCTCGTGAATGAAAACATTTTTCTAGAATTATTCAATATATGTTAATGTTTTAAAATACCCTCTATAAAAATGTCCCGTCTATCTTTCGTTGTGTCCTTCAAAATATTTATACACAGATTTTGGGTGTATCTGTAATACCCTTACTTCAAATTATCAAAATATGAAACCTTGTAAGATTTCTAATCCTATTTTTTTTTTTGTATATTTCTTTTGTTTTTCTTTATTTAATTTTTTCTTATTTTTGTATTTATTTTTGGTTATAATTTCTAGGCATAGATAATATCATCGTTCATAAGTTCACAAATTTAGTTCATCTTAAATTTAAAAAGTCTACTTAAAATATATAAATATCAATACATATAAGTAGGTATATAGGGTTAAGTTTTATATACATTTTCGTAAGATGTTGTGTATATAGTTTAATATCATTATTTATAATAACTGACTAGAAATTGTTCTTGTTGTTTTTGGCAATCTAAAAGATAAATTGACATTTATATTGCTTTCGAAATTTAATTTAACAACTTTGGTTTTTGGGTTTTTTGGTATTTTTGTTGAGTACAGTATGTGGCACAAATATTATGTTCTAGTTGAAAAAAAAAAAAAAAAAACATTATGGTCTCAGAAGTCAACTCCGGAATTTAAAATGAATGAATTTTTTTATCGTACTCTTTTAAAAGAATTCGATAACTGAGCTGCAATTTTGAATTTCTTTACAAAATCCCCATTTTTTGGATGATGACTTTGGCTGTACTTATTTTTTGAGAATCTACTGTGTACGGTATTGCTGTTAAAAAGTTTTTAAAATCCATATTAGACTCTAAATCTAAATTTAACTGTTACCACCAGCAGGTGGTTCAACACCTGCTCCCTGCAATAGTGCTTGTAATTTTGCTGCTGCTGGGAATGAGGCCAAGTCCAATGGAGCTGCACCGGTGGTACTTTGAATATAGGCTAAAAGTCTATAAATGACAAAAATATATATTAGGACGATTTATTTAGATTTATAAAATATTTCGAATAGTTGTTTACCTTCTCAACTCTTCAATGGCATTCTGCTGCATAAGAATGTAATTCTTGGCCAGCAATAAGGTGGCAATTTTCGATAGCTTTCGTACCGATGGTGAATGAGCATAGGGTATCACAGTGCGTAATTCATCCAAGGCATCGTTTAAATCGTGCATTCGACGGCGTTCTCTGTAAGACAATACATACAAAGAAATAAAATTATTGGAGAATAAATAAAAATATTGCACTCCACCCTATGGTCGAGGTTTTAATTGTTAATTTCAAATTATTTTTCCTTACCTTGCATTGATATTCAAACGCACCGACTTGCCCTGCCGATTTTTCTGCTTGCCACCGCCAGTACTGGACGAACTGCCACCATCTGATTCTGAATGGCCACTACCACCACTGCCTCCTCGAACCCGAACACTATTGTTATTGCCCGCTGTTGATGGTAGCAACGAACTAATTGAACTACCACTGGTGGATGGTGGTGCCAACATTAAATTATTATTTGCACTTTTATCCATGACCATAAGACCAGAATCTGCTTTATTTTCATCACCTGGTGGCATACCACTACCACCACTTTGTATCATACCCAATCCCTGTGCATAAAATCCACCCAGACCCACAGAGCCGAGAGGTGTACGACGTCCTGGAACACTTTGTGGTGGACTGGCTGTGGGTCCAGGATGTGCCGATGGATGTGCTGCCATCATGTTGGGGGTTGGTGGTATTGGTGGGTGACCGGGCAGTGCAAAGCCGAAGGGTAAATTTGGATGATCCATTGTGATAGGGGTTTTTTTTCGGATGGAGAGAGCTGTAAAGAATAAAATAAGGTTTAATATTATTAATGATACGAATTGGGCAGTACTAAATAAATATGTATATAGTTTTAAAATAATTGAAACAAGTCTGTCGTGGACGACAATGTAGGAAAATAAGCCAATATGAAGTTTTTGTTTTAGTAGTAATTCTAAATATTCGCCCATTTTGGCCGGAATTTTTACTCTGTAATCTGGTTACTGCATATAAATTGAACAGGCTAGGATATTAGTGTACATTACAAAATTTTATTCAATGGCGGATATGTTTTCTGCAGAAGGGTATTGACCTGATAAGATAAGACAGTATATCGAGGGGGAGTGGTTGACCGGATAAGGGAATATAGATATTCCTACTAAAAATTCCAATTTTGGTCCCCTTTCCAACATTCCAACTTTTGGGATTTTGGGGAGTTTTGGTACGTGGGCCGAAATATTTTAAGCAAGTTTTTTCTCTTTCGAGTTGTGCTTAATGATTGAAATTTTGCAATGAAAAGGAATGGCAGGAGATGAACCTACGCACCCACCATTATACGACGCGTCTCGCCATTGTGGCTTTACAACGGTCGTAGGTTGATAACATATATTTATGTCGCAGTTGATGGGAATTTCCATCTGCAAATTAAATTCAAATTTGTCACGGTTCGACATTTGTCTTCACTCTAGAAAAAGTCCTTCTCGAAGCAGATTTTTATTGTAGCGATGGATAATTAATCCACACACCTACATATCGGAAGTGTGTTGATGGCTCAGAACCCAACGTTACCCAGGGGACCTATGTTCGTACCCTAGCTTTGCTCAGTTTAAATAATTTGTATTTATTTAATTTCGCCAATAAGGGTCATACTCCCTTGAATGATTTTTAGATCAGTTTTTTCTCTTCCGAGCCGAGCTTAATGATCGAAGTTTTGCAATGTCGTTATAAGGATTTTAATGTATGGCCGATTGTATAATTTCTTACCACCTAGAACCCAAATATTTATACCCTACACAACTATGTTGTCAGGATATTGTAGCTTTATGTGGCCCCAACAGTGTGTAAAGCCGCGAAATATTAGTCCTAGATCCACCTTTAAGTATACCGGTAATATTTCGACTAGCTGAGTCGATCTGGACATGCGTGTCCATCTGCCCATTATAATTTATAGACACGATAAAGGCCACAGTTATGGACCAATCGTCACGAAATTTTGCATGTAGGAAGGGATCTTTCCAAGAAATGACCCTATTGTCTTTTAGGGGTTGAAATAGACCAACATCTTCATTTTTGTCGGTTTTTCTTGTCGCTGTAGAGTTCACAATTATGACCTGAACATCACGAAATTTTACAAGCATGACTATTTTGATGAAGATCGGTCAATATTTAGCGAGCCAAATAGAACCAGACTTTGTGTGAAAAATGGCAAAAATTGTATTCTGTGGTGAATATATTTGCTCCTGAAGGACATAGACCCAAGAACTTGTATGTACTAGTATGTGGAAGTAAAACCAAATGTGTAAAATGAAACCAGTTAAGAAAGTATTTGGCCCACTATATGATACCCTTCAACACTTTGATTATATTGTACATATGTGTCCCAACAGACGTCGTCTTTTCGAAGGAACATTGACATGAAATTGAACGAACGTCAATATGTGATCTTAAACTATATGTAATCCGACTAACATTAATCCTTACACATTCTGCAACCGACTAACATCAATCCCTACACATTCTGCAACCTATTCTAAATATTGTAAATCGATATAAAGCCAACTTGACACACGCTATTCGGTATGCTGCACTGTTTAAAATGTAATCTCTATCACGCACCAATTGATCATTTGGTGTACAATCTACATGAATAGGTCGAAATTATATATGGAAGCTATGCTATACTTTAACCTGAACCGATTTCCAGGAAACTAGCCAGAGATTAATTTAAATGAATTTTATTAGTTTGTGTCAATTGGCCTAGCTATGGGTCTTTAGTGGACCATATACTTAAAATCAGACGAACGTATATGGGGGAGCTATATGTAAATCTGAACCGATTTCAAAACATTGTTCAAAATTTTATGCTAATAGTTAAGAGCTAACATTAATATCGGACAAAAATATATATATATATATATATATATATATATCTAAATCTGAATCGATTTTCACGAAATTCAGCACACAGCATTCTCGACTTATTTCTGTGCGATGTACCAAAATTCGAGCAAATCGAAAGACATATAGAGACTTTGGTGCACCATTTACATTAAATCGGACAAAAATATATATGGAAGCTATATCTATATCTGAACCGATTTGCACAAAACTTGGCACACATCATTCTGGACCTAATTCAGTATCACAAATTTCATGCAAATCGAAAGATATATATGGACATTTACATTAAATCGGACATATATATATATATGTATATATATGTCTGACCCGATTTTCTCGAAACTTGACACCCGTCATTCAGGACTCAATTCAGTACACTATGCAAAACTTCGTGCAAATCGAAAAATATATAGGGTGTTTTAAACATGCATAAATCAACTGAGAAAAGTGATTCTATGTATATACTCAAAACGAACCATGGGTCTATCTCGTTTCTTTATGCCTGTTACCAACATATGCACAATGATATAATACTCTGTACCACATAATACTTTGACTCCGTTGACCTGTGATCGGTCATAAGAGTACAAATATCGCGAAATATTGCCCTGTCTCAGAATATAGATTCGCAGAAACGTATATCTCAGTGGAAGTTGTGTAGGGTACCAAACGGTCAGGCCCGCCCGAATATACTGCTCCGCTCACTGGTTTAATGTGTCATATGTTCCATTCCCCTTAAGGTCTATTTTTATGTATTTTCAAGAAACAATTTTGATTCCATTAAATTTTTTTTCAAAGGATTTTATTTTCTGAAATAAAATCTCTTGCCTTTAATTCTCTCAAAACTATAACCAATTATATCGCATATGTTATAAAAATTCTGCCAAAACTATTTTTAAATGGCAAAACAATAACATCATACCCTTGATTTTTAACGAACAATACAAAAAATAATGCTGGTTATAATTGATTGTTTTTGGAAAATTTATTCCAATTGGAACACTTGTTTGTTATAGAAATTCAATAGTAGCATCCCCTGTTCCCAAAATTCATGCCATTCAGGCTAAACATCTGTTGTGATTTTAATTTTGTTGTTTTGTTTTGAAAATATCCATTCGAAAAATTGTGAGAATGTTGGCATGTGTGCGTAACGAATGTTTTTTGTTTTGTTTTGGGTGGTAATTGCAACCCCTATTCTAAGGGTTTTCAGGGTTGTATAAAATCGCAGCACGTTAGTTGGAGAACTGAAGATAAGAGACCTCTAGCGGAGAGTAGTTAGAAATTACATGACATGTGTGTTGTCGTTGATATTTGTATAGATGGCGTTAGTAAAATAAATGTCATTAGTCTCGCATTTAAGGGATGCTGCCACCTCCGATTGGGGGTATGATGTAAACAATTTCAGTGATTTTGGTATTGTGGAAAAAATATGAATTTATTTTAAACAAATATGAAATTATAAATTCATTATTTTTGTTATTTACTTACAGTTTTGAATAGGGTTCCGATGGGTATATGTAGGTTTATATTTTTCTTCTAGAAAATATTCACTTTTTATGTTTAATTATTTATTTTCGTTTATGTGGTTATTTTTATTGAAAAAATATTTTTGTTTAGCGAATTGTTTGCCTACCACAAAAACCACAATTATTTTTATTTACATATCACTTAAACACACACACACACACACATTTGTCCCCTCTGGTCCAGTGTAATATTAATTGTAATATTTTTTTCCTCACACTTTCAATTGTTGGTGTTGCTTTATATCACTTTGGGAAAGTTACAAACTTTTCTATTTCGTGTTTCTTCATTGATTTTATTTTATTTTACTACACACAGAATACCATTTAATACCGGCGCCATTTATTGTCATTAATCGAGTGATGATGCTGATGGTGTGACGAATACGACGACGTGAGCAAACATTTCACCCAGCAGCCTGTGCTGTAATTTTTTTTTTGGTGGACGGAAATTTTAGCAAACTTCGATAGTGCCGTATGTGTGTGTATGTAATCACGATGAATTGCCTGATTTTGACAGCGTATTTAGCACTTTTATTCGCAATGAGATGAGAGTCAGCCACTGTAGTTGACCGGACCGTTGTCACAATGCACGACAATGTCAACAACAGCAGCCCGCAAAAAATCTCCGAAGAATAAGACCGCAAACAAAAACACAAAACGGCCAACCGAGAACCAGCCAAATCAAACGAACAATAATTCTCACCAATACTCACACCTCGGTGGCACACCAATACAAAAATACAATACTACAACAACTAACTACCACACAGCCATATAGCAACGATTGTGTACACAACAAATGGCATGCAAACACTTATACAAATTCAAACACACACAAACACAGACACATTCAAGCAGACACGTGTATGTATGCATGTAATAAAGCCACCACTATAACAACCACTGAATTGTGGTATCCTGAATCCTGATTTGTATTATTGTTATTTTCGTCGTTGTTGTTGTTGTTACAAATGCTCTTGTTTTCTATCCTACCACACTTTTCATCTTTATCACCATCATCGTCATCATCCACATCGCCATTAACATGCACAACCACAAACACATTTTCACACATAAATGTTTTATCTTTTTAATATTTTTATGTGGCAAAGTTTATTTGTTTCAATTTCATTGTGTGTTTTTTCAGCTTCTTTTTCTATTGTGGTTAAAGATTCTGGTGTGTCTGTGTGCCAGTATTGGTGCCAGAATGTAAAGTGTTTAATACTTAACCCTTAAACCACCGGAATTAAAATCCAATGATTCTCTTTCAGAGAAACTAAATGGTTTAACCATCTAGTGGGCGGAGCATGTTACACGATACCCTACACAACTTCCACGCTAACTTTCGTGT